CCATGGGACAAATTGGTCACAAAATGCTCCCCAAACGTTGGTTGAAATTAAGAGTAAAAGGGGGCTTCCCTGGTGGCGCAGTGGTTGAGAGTCTGCCTGCCGATTCAGGAGACACGGGTTCGTGCCCTGGTCCGGGAAGATCCCACATGCCGCGGAGCGGCTGGGCCCGTGAGCCATGGCCGCTGAGCCTGCGCGTCCAGAGCCTGTGCTCCGCAACGGGAGAGGCCACAAGAGTGAGAGGCCCGCATACCGAAAAAAAAAAAAAAAAAAAGAGTAAAAGGGAAGGGACTGTAAAATAAAGACTGTTGCCCACCATCTCTAGTTCTGCAAGAATCAAGTCATTCACCACTGCAGTTGCTGACCTACGACACACCCTGAAAGGAATTCAGGACGAAGACCAGGATGAGGCACTCTGTGCTCTGGGAAAATTGACAGAACCGGCCCTCAGATAGTATCTTTAGCAGAAATTTTTTATGAACCTGGATTCTTGGATCTTCCCATACTTAGTAAAGCACTAAAACCATTAACCAAGATGTCTGCTACTGTGACTCGCAGCAACTTTCTACTGAGAAAGATGTGTGCTTGACTGCAGGTACCCCCTTTGCCTAAATCACATTTTGGCTAGCTTCCTCCTTTACCTCTTTGGAACAGTTCTCAGAACTCTTGGAGAGACTGTCTCCTGGGTTAAAATACTCAGATTGGCTCGAATAAAGTTCCCCATTTTTTCTTAGATTGACTATTGATTAGTTTCTTCATGGACAAGGTCTTGCCAGTGTGAACCAGTCCAAATAGCAGCCTGATGAAAGAAGCCCACCTGGCTGTCCCTTCTGGAGACCTCTGCCTCCTCTGGGATGATGGACCCAGAATCACAGACACTCCTGACCTAGGGCAAAAAATGATTTCTCATGGGGTGAGAGGTAAGGGTCTAAATACATTTTTAAATTATCCCATTACAATTTAATCAGTACTTAATCCTTTCTTTGCTTCAGTTGGATATTGTTGCCTACCCAGTTTGATCCTGCCTTCTCCTTCCCATTAGATCCTGATTTTGTGTATGTAGTCAGTCACCCTGTATCCTTGCAGCCCTTTTGACTTCATCCCGAGCTCCAAGGGAAGCCCTGATTGGTCTGAGTTAATTATGACAATCCCCATTCTCCTTATCAGTGATTGGCTAAAGGATCCAGCCTAAGCCAATCAGTACATGACTTGCCCCTTGTCAGTGGCTTAGATACAGATATGGGCACATGACCTAAGTTGGCCCAATTGTACTGAAGGAAAGGACATACAGGTCATGAGTGAAGGAAATATTTCTCTTCCTTCTGATAGACATGACTAAATAAACATGTTGCTCAAGCTTGTTTGTTTGGTTTGACAACCTTTTTGTGACAATAAAATAATAGAGCCTAAGAATAAAGCCAACATGCAGAGGAGGGAGTAGCCAAGAGAAAAGCAGAGAAATGGACTGGAGCCCTTATCACACTATGCCTGAAGCTGAATTCACCTCTGAACTTTCTGCTATATTCAACGGTATATTTTTTGATATATATGAGTAGTATATTTTAGAATTCTATAGTCTATTTAATATAGGTTATATATAATTTAATCTAGTTGGAGTTTAAAAAATTTACTTGAAGCTAAAATTATCTTGATATCATTCACTGATTTAAAATATCTTTGTAACATGCTAAATTCTTGCTTTTAAAATTCTTGAGTCTGTTTCTAAACTCTCTCATTTCATCCCATCCCACTTCATTCCACCCCATTCTGTTCCATTGTATTACATTCCATTGGTGTATTTGTCTTTCAGTTCCATATCAGAGCATCTATTTTAATTACTGTAGGGTTTTAACTCACTTTCACAAATGTGAGTCACATTCATTCTCAATTCTCATTGGACAAATTATTTCGTAAAATCATTTTATTAAATGTTAAAAATGTTCTGAGATTATGGCTGGGATTCTTTGACATTTAGTTATTTCAGTGCAAATTAACATTTTAAAAGATTAAGTCTCCCAATGCAGAAACATGAATTGTTACTCTAAAAATTCATATCTTCATCTTTTTTATCCTTCATTTATAAAACTTAAAGTGTTTAGTATTCCTACAATGAGGTGCCACTTCACACCGGTCAGAATGGCCATCATTAAAAAGTCTACAAATAACAAATTCTGGAGAAGGTGTGGATAAAAGGTAACCCTCCTACACTGCTGGTAGGAATGTAAGTTGGTACAGCCACCATGGAAAACAGTATGGAGGTTCCTCAGAAAACTAAAAATAGAATTACCATATGATCCAGCAATGCCACTCCCGGGTATATACCCAGACAAAACTATAATTCAAAAAGATACATGCATCCCTACATTCACAGCAGCACTATTCACAACAGCCAAAATATGGAAACAACCTAAATGTCCCTCAACAGATGAAGGGATAAAGAATATGTGGTACGTATATACAATGGAATACTACTCAGCCATAAAGAAGAATGAAATAATGCCATTTGCAGCAACATGGATGTAACTAGAGATTAGCATACTAAGTGAAGAAAGTCAGAAAGAGAAAGACAAATATCATATGATATCACTTAGATGTGGAATCTATAATATGGCACAAATGAACCTGTCTATAAAACAGAAACAGACTCACAGACATAGAGATCAGAATTTTTTTAAACATTTTTATTGGAGTATAATTGCTTTACAATGGTGTGTTAGATTCTGCTTTATAGCAAAGTGAATCAGCTATACATATACATATATCCCAATATCTCTCCCCTCTTGTGTCTTCCTCCCACCCTCCCTATCCCACGCCTCTAGGTGGACACAAGCACCGAGCTGATCTCCCTGAGCCATGTGGCTGCTTCCCACTAACCATCTATTTTACATTTGGTAGTGTATATATGTCCATGCCACTCTCTCATTTTGTCCCAGCTTACCCTTCCCACTCCCCGTGTCCTCAAGTCCATTCTCTACATCTGCGTCTTTATTCCTGTCCTGCCCCTAGGTACTTCAGAACCAGTTTTTTTTTTTTTTTAGATTCCATATATATGTGTTAGCATACGGTATTTGTTTTTCTCTTTCTCACTTACTTCACTCTCTATGACAGACTCTAGGTCCATCCACCTCACTACAAATAACTCAATTCCGTTTCTTTTTATGGCTGAGTAATATTTCATTGTATATATGTGCCACATCTTCTTTATCCATTCATCTGTCGATGGATACTTAGGTTGCTTCCATGTCCTAGCTATTGTAAATAGAGCTGCAATGAACACTGTGGTACATGACTCTTTTTGAATTACAGTTTTCTCAGGGTATATGCCCAGTAGTGGCATGGCTGGGTCATATGGTAGTTCTATTTTTAGTTTTTTAAGGAACCTCCATACTGTTCTCCATAGTAGCTGTATCAATTTACATTCCCACCAACAGTGCAAGGGGGTTCCCTTTTCTCCACACCCTCTCCAGCATTTACTGTTTGTAGATTTTTTTT